TTATGGATTTTTTGCATAAAATAGGGGGGAAAATGTACTTATTATCTATGGTTTTGACGATTAGTTAGGATAGATTACAGAAAGAAGAGAGTCATGATGTAACTTTAGAGAAAGAGGTAAATCTACAATTGTACTTATAATTGCTGTGAAGAAGATCAGAAGCTACTTTCTTATATCTTTTTTCTTTCTTTTCTATTTTTCCTCTACCTTTTTCTTTTCTTTTCTTTTCTTTTCTTTCTTTTTTTTTTTTTTGCATGTTAGCTTTCTCTTTTTCTTGTTTCCTTCTTACTCTATTTTAGTTTGTATTAATTTTTACTCTTCTTTTTAAAACTTTCAATAAAAATAGAACAAATGAACACTGGAATATCTTTTGAAAGAGAGAGAGAGAGAGTGTGTATGTGTGTGTGTTTAAACTGAAAGTGAGAAATATTAATCATACCTCTGTGCTTGTATACAGCAGGACCTGATATAGTTGTATACATATCTGATTTTGTCTTAATTTCCAAGTCATAAAAGCTGCTTGTTCCATAGGCATAAGAGCCCTGCAATAAGACTTCAAATGCCTAAAAGCAGAAGAAAGAAGGGGATTTTGTTTTTTTTATCAACCAGCATCTTTTTTCTAAGAGAATAAACTACAAAATTGTTTCATACCTCTTTGAAACAACACCATGAATAAATGTTTTAACATTACAAAATGATGCTTAATTCTCCACTTAAGTACCTACTAACTGAGGCAAATAGGGAGGAGAGACAAACACTGGGGGAATTCATGGGGGGATATCATAATTCAATAGGCACAAATTGAGTAATTAAAGCTTCTATAGTGACCCAGATACTGTGCAACATGGTATGTCAGTCTGACCCTGTCTTTACATTCTTGTTTCTGTATCACAGATAGCAGGAGCGTTATGGTGGTACTACATATCAAAAGGGATTGAGTATCTGGACACAGTGTTCTTCATCCTAAGAAAGAAATTTAATCAAATCAGTTTTCTTCATGTCTATCACCATTTCACTATGTTTACTTTGTGGTGGATTGGCATAAAATGGGTTGCAGGAGGACAAGGTGAGTAAACTTGTCTACTAAATGGAAAGTGAGATTAATCAGAAAAATGAATATTCCTGATTATAAAAAAAGAGTATATGCTTAATTCTGTAGTGTTAAAAATTTAAAGGCATTTCTTCCTTCTCTGGGAAATGAGGGGGAGGAAAGATATATTATTATAGTCTTGTGAAACCCTTTTCACACAGGCATAAGTGTATCATTCAGATTTTAAATACATATTCTTCTTGTGTTTAAGTTTATGAACTGCATGAAGCAACAGATAGCTCTGCCTTGCTTAACTAAAATTCTGCAACTGCAGGCAGAAAACTTTTCAATTGTGCCTTGATTAATTTAGCATGATGATGAAAAAAATCTAGTCAACTGAGTCATAATAATTTCAGTAAGACTTACTTCCACCTATACTGAGAACTGTTACCTAAATTTATTTTATTTCTGTGTAGTGTGGAAACTAGATATAACTGCTTCATTTCACTGTGTAGATAAAAATTGTACATAAAGATACCATAAGGGGTGTAATAATTATGATATTTTCCTTTTGTTATTTCTTTATGGTTCCTTGAATCATACAACTCCCTTTCTTTAATGTCAGAATCTTGGCCTTAGTTTGCATTTTCTGTCTTTAATTATGCATGTTTCCCTGTGTATACATTTGCATAGATTGCCCTACAAATTAGATATTTTATACTCTTACTAAATAATAAGATTCATAATTTCTATTCTACAGTATAACAGTTCATATTATTCTGCAACCCACAAATGCTTTATAGTTGTAAACTAACACTTTTCAAGGATATACATTTACCAAAAATCAACAATCCTTCCAGTGCAAATCTAGAAAAATGGGCCATCACAGATATCAGGTTTTCTGATGTGATCAAGTTTTACCTTTGCATGTTCAGTCCAGCACAGGAAAACAATGGAAATCATCTCTTTGCTAAGTCTCCAATACAGCTAGGAGTATGAAAGAGCTATTCATTGCCTCTCCTATGCTGGACTGAATATGGACACGTAATCCCCAGAGTTTTGAGTTTTCTATACCTCGTTTTCCTGTGTGACCAAAATTACAAAGCAAGTTGTTCAGGCACACATTTCACATAGAACAAGTGCTGGGGGAATATGACTCTAGTTTCCAGGTATTTGTGGCAGTTTATGCTTGCGCTGAAATTGTAGCAGTGCGTTCAAGCTAAATAAGGCCTACCTACAGCGTACCATAGGTGGACTTCCACATGATTAGCAGAGGGTTCTCTTGCTCTTCTTGTATGTTTTTGTCCTCCCATCTATTCCTGAGGAATCATAACTTTTCAAAATTATAGGAAGGAGGGATGGGAGAAACTGATATTGGGACATTGTACTTTCTTCTCATTGATGGGCAGAATTAAATACCATAGAATATGATTATCTTAATGATTTCTGTAATGTACTTCTTTTGTTTCTTCTTCCCAACAGCATTTTTTGGAGCTCATATGAATGCTTTCATTCATGTTGTTATGTATATGTACTATGGACTAGCTGCCTGTGGCCCAAAATTCCACAAGTACCTTTGGTGGAAGCGATATTTGACCATAATGCAATTAGTAAGTAATATTATATATAGATATAGATATATGGATATATAGATATAGATACCAATAGAAGTGAATATGTGTAGCTCAGGGTTGAACTGTGGAGAGAATCCCAAGGACTTCATAGATATAGATATATAGATAGATATACATGTAGATATAGATATATATCAGTTATTTTTTAAATTGGGTCTTCTCAGTGTGAGAAGTGTGAAAGTAATAAGCACATCTGTCCTCCCAATTGTTCACACCACCTTTAGGGAGTGTCTCTTCTTAAGTGAGGAACCTTGATGTTCTCTGATCCCAAAAGATCAGAGGCCTCAGTGCTATACAGAACTCCCATGGATAAAGGAAGAAAACCCCTACCACATGCTATTGCAATCAGCACATGGAGAGCTACAAGAATGGCAACAAGAAAGTCACCTAGTGCTCGGTTGCTAACCGAGGTAGTCACTAAATGAGGAGTGGCTATATAGAGAATGTACTCTTTAAGAATAATGGGAGGGAGCTCATATACAATAGTTATTTAAATCTGCTAATCATAGGTGCAGTTAACACATACACACACACACACATACAAATCTGGTGCACTCTCAGTTCTCAGTAAAAGCAATCCTAGCTATTTTTTCTCCAACAAATATGAATCTGTGTGCAAATATGTGTGTTTATATACATATTTGCCCCAGGCAACACTCTAAAAATGGGCAGGTCCATGAAAAGAAATTACATTTATATTAATTGAATTAATAAATACAACTCATTTAATTCAATTATCTGTAACTAAGATGCCACATTTGTATACATCTGTATTTGATTCCCTACCTATACATGCACATATATCTATTTGCTTATACACAAACACATTTATACAAGTGCACATCTGTAAACTAAAGTAGAGAAAGATTATTTGAGGAAATTTGGGTTCATCAAGTGTTAGGCTACATGTGCTTAGACTGACTGCAGTAACTTTTTGTCCCAGGTAAATTAGCATGAGGTCCTGTTATGCTTGGGATGGATTTGTTCAGCTCAGCTTATTTCCTGGGAGCTGTGTGTAAACTGAAGGAAAGATCCTCAGGACACTGGGCTAACTTTTATTTCCTTCAGGTTGCAAAAAGGAAATGAGTTGCTAAAGATATTTGCACTGGGCTGAAAGCACAAGAACACGTACCTGCACATTTATGCATGTGTAATGTGTAGTAAATCCCACTGAGGGCTGAGGGCTCCAAGTCATGTTTTGTCAGCCTGCTGGCCTCTTCCTCCTATTATTCCCAATTCACATCCAGGGGGTTCATGTTTGCAATCAAGACCTGCTCTATCTGGGTGGTGACCCTCTATCAATCTGATCTTCCCGAATTACTCCAATTGAGAGCCTCTGTAGATAGAGGAGGCATTGCAGACACTTTCTTCTCATGGAGAGATTCAAGAGGAGGGCTGGAGTCATGTGCTCATCCCCCTTGAAGCAATGGTGGCAATAATTTCCCCCTTTCAACAGCATCTTCTTGTATTGCACTCTCAGCAAATGTAATGTAATGTAAGATGATCCTCCATCCACTAATTCACAGGTAATTATTTGTGGAGAAGGGAGACCCCATCTTCCTTTTAAGTAAATAAAAAAATGCATGAATAGTATTCAGACACTTTTTCAGGAAAAATGCTCAAATAAAACCTAAGAGAAACTTCTTAATCAGGATTAATGGACCTTCTGTCATTCTTCCTTTCAGATTCAGTTCCATGTGACTATTGGCCACACCGCCCTGTCTATTTACATTGATTGCCCCTTTCCTAAATGGATGCACTGGGGTGTCATTGTCTATGCCACCACTTTCATTTTTCTGTTTGGTAACTTCTACTATCGGACATACAAGATGCCCAAGCAGCCAGGAAAGAATGGCAAGATCACCAATGGCGTAATAGCAAATGGTATAAGCAAACCAGAAAACGGTGCAGTTGTGGAAAACGGAAAAATGCAGAAGAAAGCAAAAGGAGAGTAACTTGATCCAAGCCTTAACCCTTGCAAGCGGTGAGGAGACTCCAATCTGATAGTAAAAGAAAAGGAAACACTGTCCTGTCTATACCAATTACCTTTAGGTTCTTGAAGAGATAGAAAACGTTATTTATGAAGATTGTTTTAACAACAAAAGTCCTATTGTAATTATGTAATTATTAAGAGTCATTAACTTTATGTAAACTTTTAGACTGCGGGTGTCGGTAATGTAAGCAAGAATTGCTGAAGTAGCATTTACTGTCAATCCAATGGTTAAAATTACAATTAACCAAGGATACAATTGATTTGTCGGAACAGACATTTCTTTGAAAAAGATAGCTTATAAATTCTACCAATTCTGATAGATGTTTTAAGCAAAAAACAAACAAACCCTCAATGAAAATATGGAGAGGAAGGTTTGCTCTCTTTTATAATAATTTGTAGTTTCTTAGACTAAATTATATTGCTATATTAGGTTGCCCTAATTTTCCCTTATGTCTGTTACATTGTTGTTCATCGTGTGAAAATATACCTACCTCTTTATTTGGTAAAAATAACATCTACTATTAAATATTCATGTCTGAAATAAGGAGCCCCCAATATATTTCTTGTGCTATTTAGAGAAAACATTTGTCTCTTGTTAACAAAATGTATTTTTTTATTAACAAGCATAAAGCCACATTTGAACATCTTTAATGTTTTTTTTTAAAAGCCCTAAGTGTCATAAAGCAATTTCTTGTCTCCAGTTGCACAAAATGCATGGTGTTGAGCTTTTTCAATGGTCAGATGTATATAGTGGGTGGATCAAGGATAGAACTCAGTTGTTATTTTGCTAATGGCCTACTTATTTAGCATGGATAGGACAAATTCAATATGAAGAGGAGAGAGATTCATCATTACAAAGAACTTTGCAGTTGAAGGCTTGAACCCCACAGTTTACTGGGATTTAATTGTGGCAGCAAGTACTTCAATGCCATGACGAGATGCACTGTAGATCCATTGTTGTGAACTGTTTATTGTCTTTCTCTTTGGTGCTGTAAAACTAGTAGACTCGTTTACTTAAACAGGCTCTGTGCATGTACATTTGTTATGGGTGGTTCTTGCAATCACATCGCTGCAAGAGCAATAGTGGTTTGGTAAGGTTCCATTCTTTCCACATCAGCTTCTCTAAGTCTTATTTCCATGGATGTTCTGCTTCTCATTCCTTCTGCTGCACCATTGTGGCTTCTCTCTAAAGTTTGATAGAGTTCCTCAAGCTCCTCTCTACTATGAACTGCATACATTGTATTGCACTACAGTGAAGAAAGTACAAGAATGCCTCTTCATTTGCACAGCCATGGAGAGAAGTCATGATTTGCTCCAGCTTGGAGTGAGTTTGAGGCAGAGCTGCACCACCCAGAAAGTCTTTAGATTTCTCTGCTCTAAATACAAGAGCCAATCCTCATGTATTTTTGAGAAACAGTTCTTTCTAGTAACGTATTTTATATCATGGAAATAAAGTTATTTAGTTGAGATAGAAGCTCATAGAATAGTCTGTTTTATTTTACCTGTGTTGTATTGTCTGTAATAAACAACAGGAAAACAAAGTCACATTTCCTGATATTCATAATGTCTCTGACTTGAAAATTTTCAAATCTAAAAGATAATATAAATGCTTATGTAAATAGCTTGGCTTTGAAGATAGTAACAGAGTAACCTGTAGCCTTCTCTCCATAGTAATCCAAATTAGTCAATGAAATACTGATGAACTTCAGTTCTAAACATACATACTCTGCAGTAAATCTGTATTCAGGGAGTCCCTGGGTTAAGAACGCCTGGTTTAAGGATGATCCATAGTTAAGAACGGAGCCTATTGTAGCAAAATTTGAGTTAAATACACAATGATTCAAATTCATTACACAATACCATTTATACAGTATTATACAATAATATTGTTCCAGCTTACATACAAATTTGACTTAAGGACAGACCTTGGGAATTCTTAAACTGGGGACTACCTGTAAATACAATTTGACTTACTTTTGAGTAAACATATAGGATGGTACTATTGGACTACACAGCAGATATGAACTGAACTGATCTGGGACCACAAACCAATAACTTGAATTCTTGTTGATTTCAGTGCAGGAGTATTAAGTATATCCTTAATTCTTTCACTGAAATCAGTAGGACTTATATTGCATAACTTTGGCTAGAGACACTTAGGTGTTGGGAAATAAAGTAAAATTTGTTTGGATATATTCTGCATTTTATTAGTATTATAATTTCAGTGTGGTGTGGTGTGATGTGATGTGATGTTCTGTCATAATCCAGATTGAATAATTATTTTTATCCAAAGATAGAGTATTGAAAAGTATTATCAAGCGTGATTATAGTGATTTTTACTACATATTTTCAGCCAGGTTTCATCTGACATAATTTGTTACTTGTCTGAATCCCCATGTATTATGTGTATTCTATATTCATATGTGTGAGAGTACAGCTAACTCTGAGATGTAATTCTAATTCAGTTTTGCTGCTGAAATTCTGGGTCATTTAGTCCTTGTACATAAGGCCCATGTTGATAGCAAGATACCTGCTGTTAATACTGAAAATATTTCTAAGTGCAAATTAGACCTGCAGTAAGTTCTTTCTTGTCATGCTTGGGTTTGTGAAACACTATTATATACTGGCTAAGATTTAGGATTGTTCTATTTTCATTTTTTGCATGGAGATAGCTATAGCACTTGCCCATGGATTGATGTACGCCAACTAGAAAGCCATCCATTTACCATTTACTGGTGAATGAATCCTTGAATTTGTGCCTAAAAAGACAACCATTCTTGGTTTGGTCATACTACTTTTTTTTCTCACAGAAATTCATTTCTATTAAATATCAATATCTTAAGTTGAGTAAATGACCATTTGGGGCCAATAGGAACCTTCAGAAGGCATGTTACAGATACTCTCCCAAAATGGATCTCATGGGAATGTTTGCCTGTTGACAAAACAGCTGATGGTCACAAACAACCCTCACCAGCAAACTGGTGAGGGTGACCCTGACACCAGCTCTAACCTATCAGGTTATTCCCTATCATTACAGTTCCCCTTAATGTCTTTTCTGGATAGGTGGGCACTTTTTAAAAACAAGCACTGGACTACAGCCACCTAATTGTGGTGTTATCTAAGAATATGTGAGGCTCAAGGTCTCATTGGAAATACAATTAACGCCAAAGACTGCAGTGTTCCAGCTTCCCACTTTTTAAATAAGTAATTTGATATAAAATGTGCCAGATTCCCATTTTGTTTCTTGTTTTAATTGAAAAACTCTTTAAAAAAAAAATTAAGCCAGATGGACATCTAGGGAAATGTCCACAAGAACCACATGACCTACTCCTATGTCATGCAGCCCTCAGGATTAGAACCTATGTATTTCTATGCTCCATCTTTTCTCTACAACTCTTGAGAGCAGATGTTCAGGGGACAGAGTCAAATGATCTCCTAAAGTACCTGTAATATCTTGTCTACGTGCCCCTTTTTCTAGAGCTTTATTTTATTTTATTTTATTTTATTTTATTTTATTAATTCTCAATCTGTGACCACCTTGCCTCTTCACATTCTCTTTGCCAATAGCTGGGAAGAAAAATGGAGCACAGAAATGCCATAGTCATGTCTTGAAGGTCTTCTAATCTTTCTCTTTAATCAGATCAATATTCCTATCTCAATAGACGGGTGATATACATTAGGCTTGCACAAAATTGCCAGAACCAGTTTTGATACACTGCAATTTGGCTGGGAGAGATCATTCATTCTTTACATAGCACAAGTGACTATACTGCAAGTATTAAGAAGGCATGGGGGAGGGGGGAGTGTAGATCTTCATTATGTGTAACATGACAAATCATATACCAAAATATATCATGTTTACAGACATCAGAAACTGATTTCAGATTAACAGAGCTGAGAGTGTTATACTTAACAGCACCTTGGTCTGTCTGCATATGTCTCTATGTGACCAGCTAAAATAGAGTTTTAATAAGTATTTTTTATGGTCACTTGATTTTCAGCTAATATTTCTGCTTTATTTTGTTAGTACTAGGTAAACTAATTACAGTTCAGTAACTATTTATTGCTAAATTGCCATAAGGATTTTTTTCCTACTACGCAGCTCCTTGAAAAGTTGGAGGTGAAGGCTGGGGTAAGATTCATTTTCTTTGCTAGGTTTAAACCCTCATGCATTTTTCATGTAGGCTTTGTGACAAATGGAGAAAATCCATTTGGTTAGTTTTTCCCACATGCTTGCAAACAGCCGCCATGTAAGAAAGCAGCACAGGTATGTGGTTGTTGCTACATGTGAAAACCATAACAGCCTGTATGAAATATGGGTTAAGGAATTCATAACTGACTAATGCATTTGTACAAATTTACACTAATTCACCAAGTTCACCATTAATTACAAAGTTACAAATTGATGGTGTTTCCTAAAGATTTAGAAGTCATAAATTCTTTCAATAATCCAAGTTTTAAAAATAAACATAAAACTAGTTCAAACATAACTAATTTGAATCATAAATCTACAAATGCAAAATTCTGGATTAAAATTTGTGGAGTTTTATGGAATTCTAGAGTCTGGATGTAAACCTCAAATGTATTAGAACTTATCTCTCAAAACAGGATTCATTTCTCATGTTTGTCCAGTATTGCATCTTCTATTTATGGTAGGAGAAAATATAGGATTTATATTAATAAATGAAAACTTATTATATAAATTGTGATCTAATCCTTTCTGAAACTATATAATTATATGCTGGGGGAAAAAATGAGAGACACACTGTAAAATTCAAATTTCTGTGTTGAAATTTTTTTTGCAACTGGGATTCAGCTCTCTTATGTAAAATCATACCTCTACCCAGCACACTAGAATCTTATAGAAAACCAAAATTAGTAGTCATGGTTACACAGAAAAAAAAAAGCTTCTAGTAGATAGGCAATTAAATGGGCTGAAACAAAATGGTTTGTTCAATTGCA